GGCACGTGAATCACGCTTTCCTTAAAACAGATCCGTCCCCTCCGGTGAGTGCTTGAGGTAACGATGAGCGTCTGTCTACCAAGATACAATGACAACGACGGTAGAACGAAGCACTATCGGAACCATCTCGGTGAACTAGAACTGCACCTTTCCTCTACCACCACAACCAACTACAAGACTACAAAAAGAACTCCAAGAAAACCGAGAGAATGTAGAGATGGGTGTTCTGCGTTGTGTCATGTGTTCATGTGGAGAACGGCCTTTATATAGGCTCCAAAATTCAGGTGTTACACCATGACATATTAGTGTTTAAAGACACACATTAAATCGCATTATAATGGAGCAAAACTGTTAGTTTTTTCCATGATGAATCCGGCCACATTTCCTTACTGAGATTTAGACATTGATGATGGAAAACTGAAGCCATTAAGCTCATTCACCATGGCAAATTTGGCTTTCCCTCATTACTCACCATTAAGCCCCCATTAAGCTCATTAATCAACATTAAGCTCATGCCAAACAGTTTTGGCTGGAAGGTCTTGTTTCCTTTCGGAGAGAAAGCGATCAAGTTGACTTTCGATGCCGTGTCATCTCGTATTTGGTCTAGATCTTATCAATGGTTAGATAAAAGAAAACTCTAGAAGAGTGTTGTGGTCTTGTTATGGCTCTGGCGCCGAAAGGCCTCACGAGTCCTCCTGGTAAGATACAATAATAAGACTGTAAGCGCATCTGAGCGCCTTTTTCCTGCGACAATATATGGACACTAAGGTTAGTGCCATAGGGCGAAACGGGACATCTTCGACCTCACGTCTAACCAGCGTCAGGTCGAACGAGCCCCCTAGTTCTTGTAACATGGATTAGGATGACTCTTTGGAATACTAAACCTCGTAGGAATACTAGCAAATCCAATGTGACATGTATTAGAAGGCAAGGGCTATCTTTCCTCTTTAGCCTGAAAGGTAGACGGCTTTCCCCATAGGCGGATTAGCAATCCCTCGTCTTCCATAAAAGTATTTGACATCTCTTTCTTCCTCCTCAAAGATGATGGATCCGGGGAGGGGGGAAAGATGAGGCTATCTAGATTCAGACTTGGAAAACTGAAGTAAAAAATAAATAAATAAATAAATAAAAGATAATGAAAATCGCTAAAATAACATAAGCAAAAATAAAAATAAAAATAAAAATAAATAAAATATAAAAGAAAGAAAAAAATCCCGTCCAACTTTATAAAAAACGGAAAAAAAAAAAGACAGAAAAAAACCATATCATTAGTTTCTTATAATGAAATTTAACAAGTAATTAAGTCTACCATAAATTACCATTTTTTTGTCATTTTATATGAGTTTTTTTTTTTTTTTAAGAGAATTACAATGGCCAGTTTTGGGAAGATAAGCTTCTTAGTTAAATGGCACTTTGATAGAAACTGCAACCTTTATCTTATTAAAAAAAAAACACGATCCTCACTCCACCTTATAAAATTAGTTTCTCATACGAGTCGTCTTGTGGTCATTTGGTGATGAATGAGTTTTACACTCACGCATCTAGACCTTTGACCTTAGTGTTGTGTTAGTTTTTGAGTATTTAGTGTCGATTTACGTTTGTTTTTTGTTTATTTTGTAGGATAGGAATAAGATGGTGTCCGGGTTTAATCTTGCGTGGATGGGAGAGAAAGAGAGCTAAAAATGATCAAAATGAAGAAAAGGCGAGCGCCATGATATCAAGGCATCAAGATTTCAATTTTGGAATATTTAGCTTCTTCGATAATTCGATCCACCTATGCTTTACTGAATAATTACAATTATCTGTAAAAAAAATCGTATTGTTTTAAGATCTTTGTATATTATAATTTATCCAAAATTAAAGTTTGATTGTCATTTGAGATTAACTCAAGTAGTTGAGTGTGCATGTCCAATAGAGTTTAAATTTAATGCTTTCATTTTTTATTAATAAAGTGGGAGCTATAAGCTCCACCCTGTATTAAAGATAAATAAATAAACGAATAAAATAAGTTTGATTTTTTTAACTTAAAAGGAAAAAAAAAATCTTACATTCAAAAATTAAAAAAAGTAAAAATAAAAAAAAAATCTCCCGGTTACAGTTTAAGAGATATATCTTATTAGTTGCCTCCATTCCAGGGTAAACGTGTGGAAAACAAATAATAAATAATAAAAGAACAATTAAAAAAAAGGGTTCCCATTCACGTTAACTTATATATACAATGCAATATTTTGTGGTTATACTTATACCTACCAAATTAGTTTCGTCGGACTTGTCAGTTTTTATCTACCCTACTGGTTGGTGGATCTTGGATTGCTTTTATGTCGAATCTACCACTCTCCCTTTAACAAGGATGAGTTAAAGAGTTGTCAAGTGTCTTGGACTTCGATATAACATTGCGCGGAAAGGCAAATTTTACTGTGGGAAAAATAGCGTACCGCGTAAGTAATACATTTTTTTAATTTGAACTGACGTTACATGTATAATATATAAAGAGGAAATATCTTAAATTCGGTGGTGGTGGTACCAATTTTTCAATGTAATATCATTTGTATATTCCTATAACACTCATTTTATTGAAATATAACATTCGGTAAAATGTTGTCTACCACTATGTTACGCTGAAATCGTTTCAGTATTATCATATTATACTAAAAAATTACAAGTTCATACAAAAAAAAAAATGTTACACTTACCGTAAGGCCATCGAATTTAAAACCCTACACACACACCATATTGTTGTGAATTCTCAAAGAAAGAACAAATTAGAAAGAACAGAGCTTCAAAGGGAACTCTGAATGAAATGATGCTCTCATTATAAGTTCTGAAAATGTACAGTAACTTCGACTGGGCTTTGCAACTAACTCACTCAACTTGTTGTCAGCTGTACAAGTGCAACTAACTTATCAACTGAAATAACAGCCTACCAATTACAAACTAATGGAATTGGAACGTACGTAAGGATAAGTGCTTTAAGAGCATTATTGTAATCCTTTATGACACAATCAGAAATAAACTCCACGCATTTCTGTTGATAATTCATAAGGTTATTATTATATTTGTTTAGTTAATAGCATAAGTATTCAATAGTATGATTTAAGTCCTTATTTCGTTAGTAATGTATATGAAGTGTTTATATATACATATATATGGAATATATAATGTCGAAGAACTAGTATACACCCAGTTGTTCATAATCAGTAAGCGTTATAAGCACTTGATTAAAGGTACGAAAAACAAGATTCAAGAGATCAAGCATAATTTTTGGTAAATGCTCATTACAAGAAAAATAACCTTTCTTTGTATTTTGCAATATTGACTCAAAATTGAGTTATTTTGGCATAAACATGAGTAGCGAAGTAAACTTTAACTTCACCATCCTCGTGATAATACTACCCGACAAAGACCAAAAGGCCAACAATATTTAAGTTAGATAATCGGCCAAACAACAATCAGAAAATAAACTGTGACAATGCTAATAATCCAATAACTAACAGCACCAAATCATATAAAAACTCTTAGAAGAGCTTTCTAATACACGAATGAGGTTTTCTTTCGGTCATTTAAGAATAAAAGAATAAGTTATAAAATAAAATAAAAATGTATATTTGGAAAACTAAAAGAACTTCACATGTTTGTTTATATGAAAGCTCTTCCAAGAAAGGTTACGCATCATTTTTCCTGAAAGAGCTTCCAAAATTTAATCCACATAGCTATCGAAGTTATTTTTGAGCTCAGGAGATAAGAAACTGGCTTCTAAAAGCTCTGTCAAAAAGAAACCGTTTAGTTCGTGGTTTAGAATAGAACTTCAAACTTTTCTAAGAACAAACACCTTTTAAGTTTGAATATGGGTTTATGAACCAAATGGCATATTTAAGTGACTTGAAAAGGAAGGAGTAAGACTACCTATGCGGAATTTCTCAATGATAATGCAAACATTGAATCGTTAAAATTTTCAGTAAAGGGTAGGCAGTCTTTAAATTCAAAACCCCATAAAGTGTGGCTACATGCATTGCATTAAAATATAACCCCAATGGTGGGCCTAATAAGGTGGAAATGAAATGTTAAAGGAAAGAAGACAAATACAAATTAGAGTTTATAAGCCTGAAATTTTAACTCTTAGTCTTAATTAATAATTCTTTTAGTAAAATAATTATATTAGGTAAAAAAGTATTAATTAAGAGTGAGGGATATAAATGCAGACCTATACGCTTTAAGAGATGAGTAAAGAAAATTACAGATTCTACTTCTTAAGTACCTAACTTACTAAAAGTACCTTTTTTTTAAAAACCCTATCCCTTAATTAATTCTAATCTAAAAGATAAAAATATATGGATTAATATTAAGAAGTAAAAATAAAAGGGGACTATTTCAAGAGATATTTTTAAAAATTGCCGGAGCAGACTAAGTTAACAATTTTCTCAGGAGAAAGAAGGAAATAGGCCAAGACTTAAGATGAATTAAAATTAATAGGCCAATAGTTTATATAAGTTAATAAATAGGCCAAATTATTGTTTTCGTCCATAACTTGTCTGGTTATGAACCATAACTTGACAAGTTTGTCCATAACTTATCTGGTTATGAACCATAATTGACAAGTTATGACCTATTAATTTTTATAACTAAAAATTAGCCTATATACTTTCTTAAAGTTTTCATATTGACATATTTTCTACTATTTCTCTTTTTTTTTATTGGTTAAATCTAAGCATGTGGCCCTTTTCTCATCAAAGCCCAACCGTTCCTCAAGGGTCCATATGCATTGTATCATGCATGCGCACAAGAAAAGGTGAAACATAATTCTATGGAAATCCCACGGAGCTCACAATGTAGAGACAAAATTCATAAATGAAAAATCACAAGTTAAAAACCAGAGATCAGAAAAACAGGGATGATATAATTAATATAAGAGTTTGAACATTCTCTTTTAACAAAATAATATTAATGATGATAACAATTATAATGAAACAAAACGAAAACTTGGAGGGTGAGCAAAACCCATATCTGTGGCCAAGTTTTCTGTGTGTATTAACTAAACCAAAACAACGGCAACAAAACGACACTATCTTTAACGAAGTCAAAACTATGCATTCTTGAGTCCTCCCCTCACTGAGTTTTCTCTGTCCAGGGACTTCTCTGATGCAGATGAACAGAAAAATCACTCTTCCTTCCCACCTTTGCTCATTTCCACCAGTTTGTTGGCACATTCATCACTGTCATAACCTATATCAGCTTCGGGGCTCTTTCCCTCGGACGAGGCCAGAGTCTTAGGACTATCTTCCTTGCAGTCAGAAGTAGCCTTAGGTGTATCTGCCTCCAAATCTCCAGCGGACATTTGGCCATCATCTTTCAGTATTTCACCTGTCTTTGTTGTGTCTTCCACAGATTTGACGTCGGTCCCGAGGTTGGATTCTGGTGCAGGCATTTCGTCTCTAGAGACGCATTGAAATTATCAGCTAGAGAAGCAATGTGAACAAGTGAAAATTTCAACTAACAACCAAACACTTTGTAGCTTAGTCCATGGTGCTTTAAGTTCATGTAAACCAACCTTTTTGAGGAAGTATCAGCCTTTGCTTGCTTTGACTCATCTACTTTGTCAGACTCTTTTTCCCCATCTGGCTTCCTTTTCTGCATTCCCTCTTTTGGATTGCTGAAAATGTAAAACCAGTCAATAAGTAAAAGTCCATGTTTGTCGAATTGAACAAACCACAAACTCGTGTCATTTTAGTGAGGCCTAACGTGCTTTAATTTTTCATGCAAACCAAGGTGTGAAGTATCAAGAGTTGGTAAAATGAAGAGTCTACGTTAACCAACCTTTCTGAGGAAGATTCAGCCTTTGCTGCTTGTTTTGACTCATCTGATTTTTCAGCTTGTTTTTCCTTGGCTGAATTTTGCTTCTGTTTCCCCTTTTCCAGTTTACTGAAAATATAAAACAAGTCAATGAGTAAAAATTCAAGTTACTGCTTTGCATGGCTAGGCCCGATGTACTTAGTTGCCCATGGTAAAAGCATAAAAGTTGGTAAGAGGAAGAGTGCATATAAACCAACCATTTCGAGGAAGAATCAGCCTTCACTGGATTTGATTCATCTGATTTTTCGGCTTGTCTTTCCTTGGCTGAATTTTGCTCCTGTTTTCCCTTTTTCAGATTACTGAAAATATAAAACAAGTAAACGAATAAAAATTCAAGTTTGCTGCTTTGCATGGCTAGGCCCAATGTACTTAAGTGCCCATGTAAACCCATAGTAAAAGTATAAAAGTTGGTTGAGAGGAAGAGTGTATGTAAACCAACCATTTCGAGGAAGAATCAGCCTTCACTGGGTTTGATTCATCTGATTTTTCTGCTTGTTCTCCCTCATCTGACTCTCTTTTCCGCTTTCCCTTTTGTGGATTGCTGCAAATGTAGACCCAGCCAATAAGTAAAAGGTGTGTGTCACATTGCACAAACAAGAAACTCTTTTGTAGCTAGGCAGAACAGAACGTGCTAGGTGTTCATGTAAGCCAAGGGTAAAGTATCAGAAGTTGGCAAGAGAACCAACCTTTCCGAGGAGGAATCATCTTTTGATTGCTTTTCTTGATTTGACTTTTTATCTTGTGTTCCCTTGTCCAGCTTCATTTTCACTTTTCCGCTTCGAGGATTGCTGAACATGTGGTCACTCAATAAGTAAAAATTCATATGAACTGTGCAAACCAGCAAACTATTCGAAACTTGATCAATGCTGCTTAAATGTTCATGAAAACTGAGGGCGCAAAAGTAACGAGTGGTGGTATGAATGTAAACGTAAACAAACCTTTTTGAGGAAGAACGAGCCTTCGCTTGACCTGACCTTTTTGCTTGTTTTTCCTGATCCGGCTTTGTTTTTCCTCTTCCACTCCGAGGAATGCTGAGCATAAAAACCAGTCACTAAAAATGCATACACCATTGCCTAACACCAAACTCTTTGTATCGTTGTCCATGGAGTGTATGTTTATGCAAACTAACGGCAAACTATCAAGAGTTGGTTAAGAGGAAGAGTAAACTAAAATTATAAATCAACCTCTCTGGGGAATAATCAGCCTTTTCTTCTTTTTCTGGACTTGATATTTTCACTTGAGTTTTCTGATTTGACTTTGTTTTCCACTTTCCCTTTTGTGGATTGCTGAACATAAAGAACCATTGAATGAGCAAAAATTCATGTGTCACTGTGCAAAGTGTCAAGAGTTGGTAAAAGGAAGAGTAATCTAAACCAACCTTTCTGGGGAACAATCATCCTTTCTTTGTTTTTTCTGATCTGACTTTGCTTTCTGTTTCTCCTTTTGGGGACTGCTGAACATGTAGAACCAATTAATATAATAACAAACAATTGCATAAAGGAAGCAGCCATCGAGTGAAAATTGAAGTAGCAAACAACATATAAATCATGGAGGATCAAGGACAATGAAAGCACACACCCAACAATTCTTGTCCCCCTTTCAAGATAAGATCGTTTCAGTGATTTAACTTGCTAATACTACATTTGTGCTTTTCATCTTTTATGTGAAGGCAAACAAACATTGTTATCGGTAATACCCAAAATATGGCACATTTGCAACAACTAATGGTTGAAGAGCAATCAGTTATTCAAACCAGAAGATTAACCTGATATGCCTAATAAGCCCTTGCTTAAACAGGTGTATGTGAGGAAAGGCAAGAGAGGCGAATAGGATAAAGGGCTGTGTTAGTGTTAGTTGTTAGAAGGGGGAATGATGGGAGTTGTATAAGAGAGTGTATAAATAGATAATCGGGGGGAGAATAGGATCAGGAAATTACTGGAGTCTTGTAGAGGAAGTCTTGGCTATTGCTGAGCAGAGGAGATTTGGCAGTGTCTCGAAGGACTGCTCTTGTATTCATTTCTGTTAGTCAATAAAGATTACTTTTGTTCTTTCAATTCTTTCTAGTTGAATACTACATTCTGTTCTTATCAATTTGGTATCAGAGCACCAATTCTGGGCAGAAATGGCCGTAAGAAAAACAGAAGAAAGATTCGAATTAGTGGAGAAGGAGATTAAGGAAGTTAGGTCTTCGGTGGAAAAAGGAACCGGTGAGATGGAGAAGGGAATCGGGAGGTTAGGGCAGAAATTTCCCAAAATCGGGTGGAATTTACTCAGAATCTTACTGAGATTCGTCGATTGATGGAGGAACAGATGAAATTCTTCAGAGCTCCGACGACGGCGCCGGAGAAGACGGTTGCTCCGACGATCGCGATCGTAGAGGACTGTGAGGCGAATCGCGCGGGAGATCGCGAGTTGTACCGAGCTAGAGCGGCGGAAGCACATCGGGCGGGAACCTCAGGGTGTCGCGCGAGATGGGAAGAAGGGCCGGAGGATCCTAGGGTTCCGCAGAACGTGATTTTTCCGGCGAGAGACTCTGGGTTGCGCGAGAAGGGTGAAGATCGTATGGCGGATCTGGGGTTTCGTCGTAATTTGGGTCGAGAAGAGAGAGAGAGAGGGAGCGTGGGTTGGCTAGGGAGTTTCCGATGGGTGTCAATGAGAAAAACTGGAATGGTAAGAGGGGAGAGGGGCGGGGTGCTCCCTGTGAAGGGGAGGCTCTGGAATTCGATGAAAGGTGGAAAGGATTTGGTGGCCCTATCCACCGAGGGATGGAAAGAGGGAGAAATCCTCATGTGGGAGTACGGTTTAGGGATGAATGGGAGGGCAGAGGAGTACTGGAGGAATTACCGGTTAATGAGGAATGGGCGCCTCGAAGGCGGCAGGTGGAGTGCCCAATTTTCAGCGGGGATGACCCGGACGGCTGGGTGTTCCGGATGGAACAGTTTTTCTCCATCAACCGTTGCTCGGAAAGGGAAAAATTGGTAACTTCTGGGATAGCTTTGGAGGGTGATGCATTGTCTTGGTTTCAATGGCAGAATGGCCGCAGACCTTTCCATAGTTGGGCAGAATTCAAGCTGTCGTTACTACAGCACTTTCGTTCTTCGCAGGAGGGGAATCTTTGTGAGAGATTTTTAGCCATTAGACAAGTGGGTATAGTGGCCGAATACCGCAGGAAATTTGAGGTTTCGGCAGCCCCACTTCGGGATGTGCCGGAAGAGGGTTTGGAGGGGATTTTTGTTAATGGGTTAAAGGCTCAGATTCGGGCGGAATTACGGCTCTTGAAACCAGAGGGGTTAGGAGAAATTATGGAGATTGCTCAAAGGATCGAAGAAAAAAATGAGTTGCTTCGTCGTGAGGGATCAGAAACAAGATTTTCGAGGTCACTGTCACATAACTTCTCGAGGGGGGAATTTGCACCAACTCCGGGTCGATCAATACCAGCGGTGGAGTGACCATTGAGAGCTCCTGCTTCCTTGGAGCACACGACAACTCAAAAGCGAGATTTTTCGTTTCGTAAGTTGTCGGATTCGGAGTTACAAGAAAAGAGGGATAAGGGGTTGTGTTTTCGGTGCGACGAGAAGTTTACCTTTGGTCATCGTTGTAAGAAGGAGTTGCGGATAATGCTGGTTAGTGATGAGGACGCCGAGGATTGTGAAGAGGAAGGGCTGGTTCTGCCGAGTCCTGCTTGGGAAGAGGGGCAACCGGAACTCATTGAGTTATCATTAAACTCGGTGGTGGGTCTTTCAACACCTAAGACCATGAAGCTTCGTGGCTTGATTGCTCGACAAGAGGTAATCGTTCTAATTGACTCCGGTGCAACTCACAATTTTATTTCTTTAAGTCTTGTGGAGAGATTGTCAATTCCTATTTCTCCCACTGCCGGTTTTGGAGTCCAAGTGGGAACGGGGGAATCGATTAGGGGAAAAGGAATTTGTAGGGAGGTAGCGTTGAGTTTACCACACTTGACTATTGTGGAAAATTTTTTGCCTCTGGAATTGGGGGGAGTGGATGTAATTTTAGGCATACAATGGTTGGAAACGTTGGGGGGAATGCATGTGAATTGGAAGTCCCAAGTAATGAAATTCAAGGTTCGAGGAGAAGCGGTTGTTTTGAAGGGAGACGTGAGCCTTTCCACCACTATGGTTTCTCTTAAGGCCATGGTTAGGACTATAAGGCATGAGGGCCATGGCATCTATTTAGAATTGTGTGCCTTGGATGTGAACAAAGAACCGGCTGTGAATGTAGTCAGGGAATCCGGCCAGCAATTGCAAGAGCAGATTAAGGAAGTCCTGCAGCGTCATTCGGCAGTCTTACATATACCGGATGGACTTCCTCCTCAACGGATGAGGGATCATCGTATTATTCTTCAGAAGGGTACCGTTCCCATTAGTGTCAGGCCTTACAAATATCCTCATTTCCAAAAGAATGAGATTGAAAAACTAGTTCGTGAGATGCTAGCGGCTGGGATCATTCAACCAAGTAGCAGCCCATTTTCTAGTCCGGCTCTCTTGGTTAAAAAAAAGATGGCAGCTGGCGTTTCTGTGTTGATTATCGTGCCCTCAACAAAGCTACAGTTCCAGACAAGTTTCCTATTCCAGTAATAGAGGAGCTTTTGGACGAATTATGTGGTGCTACCATCTTTACTAAATTGGATTTAAAATCCGGTTACCACCAAATTCGGATGTGCAAGGAGGACGTTCCGAAAACTGCTTTCCGTACTCACGAGGGTCACTACGAATTTTTGGTGATGCCTTTTGGTTTGACCAACGCCCCGGCCACTTTCCAATCTTTGATGAATGAGGTATTGAAGCCTTTCTTGAGGAAGTTTGTCTTAGTATTTTTTTATGACATTTTGGTCTATAGTAAGACTTTTGAGGAACATGTCACTCATTTGGACAAGGTTTTTACTGCATTAGAGACCAACCATTTATATGTTAATCAAAAAAAATGCATTTTCGCTAGTAGTCAGTTGGAATATTTAGGCCATATTGTGTCGGGGGAGGGTGTTTCGGCGGATGCTAATAAAATTCACGCGATGTTGGCGTGGCCGACTCCTCGTTCTCTAAAGGAGTTGCGTGGTTTTCTTGGTTTGACCGGTTACTACCGGCGCTTTGTGGCTAGGTATGGCCATCTTGCTTAGCCATTGACACAGCAATTGAAGAAAGACAGTTTTCATTGGACAACGGAAGTGGAAACCACTTTTCAGGAATTGAAACACGCCATGACTACGGTCCCGGTTCTTTCTCTGCCGGATTTTTCCCAACCCTTCGTAGTGGAATCAGATGCTTCGGGGTTTGGAATTGGCACGGTTTTGATGCAACGGCAGCGGCCAATAGCCTATTTCAGTCAGGTGTTGTCGTCTAGGGCTCGTACAAAATCGGTGTATGAGCGCGAGTGATGGCAATGGTCCTTGCCATACAAAAATGGCGCCATTATTTACTTGGGCGCCATTTCATTGTTCGTACGAATCAGAGAAGCCTGAAGTTTTTACTGGAGCAGCGATTAGTCAGTGAGGATCACCAAAAGTGGTTGTGCAAATTATTGGGCTATGATTTTGAGATCCAGTACAAACCCGGTTCTGAGAACCGAGTGGCTGATGCTTTGTCCAAGCAGCCCACGGGGTTAGAATTGTTGCATCTTACCACGTCTGCGCTCTATGATGGGGCTGGAATTTGCCAACAAATTCAGCAAGACCCGAGATTGTCGGCGATTAGGGCTGCCCTGTGTGCTAATTCCGCTACCGTGAAGGGATTTTCATTATGCAATGGCATGTTGCTCTACAAGGGTCGTGTAGCTTTGCCCGGCAGTCTTCTCTCATTCCGGTCCTTTTGGAAGAGTTTCATGGCAGTAAGGTTGGTGGTCATTCCGGAGTCCTGAAAACATATAAACGGTTATCTTCGGAGTTCTTTTGGTATGGCATGAAACAGGACGTGATCTCTTTCGTGGCGGCTTGTCCAGTTTGCCAGCAAAACAAGGTCTCCACCTTGTCTCCGGGGGGGGGGGGGGGGGGGGGGGGTGGTTATTGCAGCCGTTGCCTCTTCCGAATCAGGTATGGGATGATATTTCCATGGACTTTGTGGAAGGGCTTCCCAAATCGGAGGGGAATGATTCCATTTTGGTGATTGTTGACCGACTGAGTATGTATGCTCATTTTTTGGGTCTTTGCCATCCTTTTTCTGCTAAGTCGGTGGCTGCTTTGTTTGTTAGAGAGGTGGTGCGGCTCCATGGTTTCCCTCGGACCATTGTGTCCGACCGTGACAAGGTATTTCTCAGCCATTTTTGGAATGAACTTTTTAAGTTGCAGGGTACTGCCTTACATCATAGTACGGCTTACCATCCTCAAACGGATGGCCAAACGGAGGTGGTGAATAGGTGCTTGGAAGCTTATTTACGCTGCTTTGTGTCCGGGAAACCTACTCATTGGTTTTCTCATCTTGCTTGGGCTGAATATTGGTATAATACTAGCTTCCATGTGGCTGCGGGAATGACTCCTTTCCGGGCTTTATATGGCCGTGATCCTCCCAAATTACTACGTTTTGAGTCGGGCTCAACAGCTAATTCTTTGTTGGAGCAGCAATTGCAATCGCGGGATGCTATTTTGGATGAGCTGCAACCACATTTGTTACAGGCCCAGCAATCTATGAAATGGCAAGCGGATCTCAAACGCCGGGATGTGTCCTTTGAAGTGGGGGATTTGGTGTTCCTAAAACTCAGGCCTTATCGTCATCGTTCGTTGGCCAAGTTCACCAATGAAAAGCTATCTCCACGGTTTTATGGTCCCTATAAAGTGCTTGCGCGGGTGGGTTCGGTGGCATATAGGCTGCAACTGCCCGAGGCTGCCAAGATTCAACCGGTTTTCCATGTTTCACAGCTTAAGAAAGCCATTGGCTTGGCTGTTCCAGCCCAGGAGGTCCCGCAAGTTTTAACTGCCGACTTGGAGTTACGCGTGGAACCGGAGAGATTGTTAGCTACTCGTTTTTCTTCCGTTACTGGACAGCTGAAAGTCTTGTTGCAGTGGCGCCACTTGCTGGATTTTGAGTCTTCTTGGGAGCTTTTCGATGTCATCCGGCACCAATTTCCTGAATTTCACCTTGAGGACAAGGTGGCTTTTTGGGGGGGCGGAGTAATTGATATGCCTAATAAGCCCTTGCTTAAACAGGTGTATGTGAGGAAAGGCAAGAGGGGCGAATAGGATAAAGGGCTGTGTTAGTGTTAGTTGTTAGAAGGGGGAATGATGGGAGTTGTATAAGAGAGTGTATAAATAGATAATCGGGGGGGGGGGAGAATAGGATCAGGAAATTACTGGAGTCTTGTAGAGGAAGTCTTAGCTGTTGCTGAGCAGGGGAGATTTGGCAGTGTCTCGAAGGACTGCTCTTGTATTCATTTCTGTTAGTCAATAAAGATTACTTTCGTTCTTTCAATTCTTTCTAGTTGAATACTACATTCTGTTCTTATCATAACCATAAACGACAAACAATTGGTGAGGGCATAACTAACAATGTGGGTTACATACAACACTAAATACGCTAAGAAATACTTACATAGGGGATGAAGTGTCCAGTCCTGGAAGATCACTCTTTTGATCCTGTTAGTACGTAAGCACAATAACATGATAGAAAAACAATTTATTAAGATATTTAATAAAAGAAAAAAAAGGTACAAGATAATGAGCCAAAAAAAAAAAAAAAAAAAAAAAAAAACCCCACTTTATCTGCCAAAGAATCATGTCCAACCGTTTCCCATCGTTGGTTTTTCATGTTTAATATTTCTACATCACCATCAATGTAGCACACCTACACAATACGTAAAGATTAAATAGATTGTAGACTAGCATTAGGAAAATAAAAGATAGTCCTGCCTGAAAACACAAACAGAGAATTTGGGTTAGAAAATGATCATATGCCATACAGAGAAATCTTCCGGGGTTGAGTGATTTTGTTTAAGTCAACGTTATCAAAAGAGGACTTGTAGGGAGAATGCTAAAGAATTGAATGGTTGCAGAATAACACAGAAGGCCGGACAGAGATAGATAATTATGGGCTATGGCAAAAAAGTATCAGGAAGCAAACTCCTAGAACTTGGTAGACACTCGCATTGACAGATTCTGCTCACTTTGCGATACAATACAAGAAAACAGAACAGCGAGTTAATAAGGAAATTCACCTTGTGCCTTTTTCTGATAGGGTCATATGAATCAATAACACCTTCATAAAACCTGCAGATAAGAAATTCCAAATAATGTCGTAAGAGAAACAATAACTATGAATTTATTCTGAAGTTGTAATTGTTAAAGATGATAACTGCCTATCCTTCACTGTTTGCAAGATTGCGGAAAAGAATTCTGCCCAAAGATGTAAAGATCAGAAGTATACTGATCTTTGGAAAATACTAAGCTTACAGATTGTGAAATTCTTGTGCTGTTTATCCAAATATATTACACAATCAGAAGCAGTCCCAAAGCACTCACATTTTATCCATCGGCCACCAAACCTTTATTCTGCGACCAACCATGAGTTCCCCAAAGTCAATTGATTCACATGCCTGAATAGGGGGAAAAAAATGATAACTGGCATAAGGAAAACGAAGTGGGTGGGAACAGAACAGAAAGAACATTATTATCTGAAAGTAAAATGTTCAATAAGTCCTTAAAACAAAGATCACTGAACAAAAATAAGATCTTGCGAGTATTTTCACAAGAGCCAAACAACACAAATGATGACTTAAATACAACAAAATTTTGCAAGCCATACACAAATTAAAGTTCAAAGTTAGTCCACACTCCATACCTCTTCCTTTCCAATGACACGCTTCCTCTTGAATAGCGTTTTACCGCTTTTTCCAAAGTAACTTTCATCTTCATTTGATGATTTGGTTTCAGTCTCAAAGATTGTTTTCTGAAAATGGAATATTTAGTGGGTGGATGAGCCAAAATAAACATGGGGAAAGTTTTGGAGATGAAGGAATTTAACATTTATTCGTACTCGTAAAGCTGTAGAACAATGATTGCAGTACCTTAAGACCAGATTCTTCATTAACATCTTTCTTAGGAGAATCATTAACCATTTTCCTTTTCTTACGACCCCCTTTGACTGATGAATTCTCATTGACATTTGAAGCTTCTAGTTTCACAGTTGACTGTTGCAGTTTTTCCTCGGGGTGGCGAGGGTCTTCCGCTTCCATCTGTGCAGAAGCAACGGCAGTCTCATCTTTTGTCTTTGCAGTTGTCATTGCAGAAACTCCGAGTTTTGTTGAGTGCTCCTCTTTTTTCTCGTCTGCAGGAATAATATCCTCAAGTTCCTTTTTCGGAGTCTTCTCCTCAACCTCAGCAGTCAATAGTTCTCCTTTCAACTTGGATGGAGACTTGATATCGGCTTCTCGATTCAAACTGGCCCCTTTTCTCTTTGGGTGGCCCTTTTTAGTTCCATCAGGAATGCTATGATCTTCGGATGGAGAATCTCCTATGGTCTCACCAAGTTCAGATTGCAAGCCTGCTTGAACAGCCATATTTTCAAGTGTTGATGGAGAAGTGGCCTTCTTCGAAACTGAATTTCCAGATGGTGAACTGCCAGTGCTCCTCACACGAGACTTTCTACAACGAGCAAGTCCTAAAGTTTTCCTTCCACTCCATAACCAAGAATGGTCGTAGCCTTCCTCTGGATTCATCAAAGAATTTGGTTTCCTTCCTCTCTTTGTGGGAACTGAATCTGGCTCATTTCCAGACTTTGCCTTAACAGAGAGTGAACTTTTAGGCTCAGAATCACCTCTTGAATCAGCTCTTTTGGAATTTCCTTCCTCTGGTTTGACCAAAGATTTTGATTTTTGGCCTCTCTTTTTGGAATCAGAGTCTGGATCATTTTGAGACGTTTCTGCCTTCACAGAGAGTGAACTCTTAGTTTTGGCAATACCTTTTGAATCAGCTCTTGCAGAATGGCCTTTCTCTCGATTCTTCAAAGAATTTCTCTTATTTCCACTCTTTCTAGGAACAGATTCAGGGTCACTCTCATATTTGTCAGAGTCTGGCTCACTTTTAGTTTTGTCTGCCTTAAGTGAGAGTGGACTGTTAGGTTCAGCAAGACCTCCTGAATCAGCTCTTTTGGAATTTCTTATAAGAAAACCGCGTTGTAATTCTTGAGAAGGGTTGTCATGTTTGATAGTTGACGGAGCGCCATTACTGGTTGATTTGCTCATAGCATCAGCAGTTTGGTTAGTTTTTTCAGGACAGACAACATCTGATGCAAGTCCCTTTGTCTCCTGATGTAAAGAAAAAAAGTTTGTAAAAGGCTAAAAATCATATTCCTGTTAATCCAAGAAAAGAAGAGTAACGGTAGGAAAGAAAAGGGTGAGTAGAAAAATTATCAGAGTGGAAAGTCGTAATTAAGCACCTGGGGTGGTTCATTTGAAGCAGTATTCTTCACCAACTTGTTCTCATTTTCCTGAAAGTATGACTAGGCAATCAGAAATTACAAACAGAAATTGTAATTTATGTTAATAGGAATTTAACTGGTTTTAGCATTGACATAGATGAGCTTGTTTCTAAAGCTTACTTCTAGAGTGTACAGGATCACTCAATAAATAAACAAATTTCCCTGTGATAATAGATTTATTAAATAGTTTTCCCTATGCATATAAATATATAGTGTGAGAAACTATTAGCATGCCAAACAAGTTGATAAATTTTACGTATAACAAGACAGGAACCCACCAAATTGTCCTTCACATCATTAGCAGACTTATGTTTGAGATCCTGCTTTCCATTTTGGCATATGGAAGCCACTATTTCAGCATAATCATCCACATTAATACCCAGTGACTTCACTGCTTCCGTAAGATAGGGTTCGAGTGTAGCAGCACAATTAGTGATAACACTCTCCCCTAATTTCCGAGAGATAGGTGATATATTCTGAAACAAGGAACAAATCAGGCACACAACCCTTTATATTATAAATAAAGAACGCAGAATGAAGCAAACAAAAAACCATGACGATATTTTACCCGATTTTCCTTTTTAATACTATCTAAAAGAAGACTGATAAGATCCAAGGGAATGTCTTCACTCTCATGTAGAACCAGTGACATTATCCCTTCCATAGATGAAAATACAGCCTCTGGATGGTCGGACCTTAACATTCAGCAGAAAGAAACCATCAATTACTCACCATTTGTGGATGATAATACAGCTTTTTGCATCTCCTGTTGTGAAACATTCTGAGAATCTAATCAATTAATTTAAGTGTAACCGAATTCTTTTTAAGAATCAAAACAAAAAGTCAAAGATGATTTTCGTGCTAAAGCCTTGATTTGGAGGTTCTTTCTAGAACTTTTGATGGCGCATGCAGTTTAGCAGAGTCTTCATTTATCTTTTACTTAAAATAAGTCCAGGTTAATCTAATCATTTGAAGGATTATCGAAGCATCTCTAAAACTGGACAATCAATGACATACGAAGGATTGGAGTAGCGTTTGTAGTTTAAACAGGAACCTCATAAAACTATATATTAAGAACAACAAAGTAAATGTTCTATTAAAAAATCATTATTCCGTACTTGCAATGCTACATTTGTGGTACTCATGAAAATATTTTATCGTTAAGACAACCAACAAACAGTTTAGCAGCAAAGAGACACAAGAGAAACAATGTATAATTCAATAAACAGCACTAGAAAAGCTCTTACCGAATGTGATTCAAGAAATGTTGAAACATCTCAAAAACCAATGCATCACATTCAAGGTCTAGCATTATCAAGCTTGACCTGACCTTTGCGATAACGTCAAGAATAGACATTGCCTTGGTGTAACAACGGCCTGAGAATTGAGACAAATTTTCGAGAGCTGCTACAGACAACTGAAAAATTTCCTGTACAGCAACAAGACATCATAAAAATTAGAAAGATATGGAGGATTGACAAAACTTTAATATTCCTTAGACTGTTATGATATCAAACGTTAGTGAATGTACCTTCATATGATCATCGCCATAAGGAGCATCTGGCGCAGTTATTCTCGTAATTTGAGCGATGCAAGACACAACTGAAACCTTGACATCCATATCTGAGTGCCTCAAAAGTTCATCAGAAATCAATGCCTTCATTACTGGTAGAAGTGCATCTTGCAGAGATTTCGATGGTGATTGTTCAACATTCGTTAACACCTCTTCAACCCTCTAAAACGCACAAAACGAAAAATGCTCAAGTTACATCTCCCAACCTAGTCCTATTCATTCCTTACATCTAAGGCTTAGTGGATTCAAAAAGTAGAATTGCTCAAAAAGGTTGTGCTTATGCCTCAGTTCTAAACTCCTAGTGGATTCTTCTATGGTAATAATTTTCTTCCTAATTTCTCTTTTGTTTTTCCTGGAAACAAATAATCATGGCATGTACAAGAAGATATTTTAGACCACAAGCCTTCTCTAACCCTGATGAAAATGAGATTCAGTTTCAAGTCTTGGGTAAGATACCAAAGAGATTTCATTGACTAAATTATATGGAAACTCTTTTTCACTATATTTTTTATCTTGAAGAGTTTTATTTACCCCTATTTAATCCCTTCAAATTCTCCTCCATTTGAATGCAAAATATTAACCCTAATCTTGTGTACTGCTTATATTTCTTTACCATAACCAAGTTTTCTAATAGTTTCAATCTTATTAAGAGACTAAAACAGAAGAACAAATCTGAAACCACCAAAGCAAGACAACAACACAACATGGGTCATAATGAAAAGCGTGTTTCAAGAATGCAGACAAGGAAATACATTCCCTCTAGAACCAGAAAAACTAGTATATTTTTTTTCCCATTTCAGGCAAACAAATTTCCACAATACCGCAATCAATTCACCAAAACTTTCCCATTTTTTTCTTTATTTAATCCAGTTTACTGTCCAATTCAGCCGCACCTCATTGTTGACTCAATAGAAAAACAACAATAGGGAACAAAAAATGCACCAACAATCATCAACCCATGAAAAATTTCTAACTTTTCTCAACACTCGAACAGAAAGAATTGGGAAAGGGAAAACCCATGTGAAACCAACAATCAACGATTCAAAACAAGTGATCATCACCAAATTCAAGTGACCATACATTCAGCATTCCAGTAAACTGACCAGACCAAGCAAAACCGAAAAAGAGTACATTTTTATGCAATACAAGAAAAACCCATGTAACAGAAACAATCAACCATTCAAATAAAAGTGATGATCACCAATTTCAAGTTCATTATAAATTCACCAAAAAACAAGCAAAACCCAAAAGACTATATCTTTATGCAAGGCAAAAGAAGGGAACATTACATCAAGAAGACTGAGAAGCTCCTCAGTGGAGGAAGGAGGGTCAAGAAGGCCATTCGCAGCATCCTTAAGCTGCACCTCGAGCTCTGCATCAGAAAAAGACATGTTTTTTTTTGTTTTTTTTTTTTCCTTTTTTTCTCTTTTCTTTATGTGAGAACCCTCTACAGAAACTGTATACAAAAGGGTGTCTGAAACCTCAAAACCAGTTTTATAGCCCTAAAAGGAGGATGTTTTTCAAGTTTTTCAATGGTCACAAAACTCACAACTGAGAAATGGGTGTTTAAGGCAAAGTGGTGGGCATGCAAGCAAGCCAAGCACAGGCTTACAAATGAGGCAGTTTCGGATTCTTCCTCATTTATGAATTTTGGCTGAATTATGGGCTCTAAAATCCGGTACTACACTATAATATAAACACTACACTGTGTTTCTACTACCACTTGGGTTTTTCTTGGCTTTTCCTCTTCAAAATGAAGACCCTTTTTATAGAGGAGAATGGGGATTTTTTGGTCTCTCCCATTGGCGCTTTTCTGTTTGCCTTTTGAGTGCTGAGCAAGAGTTTGTTCAGCAACATTTGGTCAAAATTACATTTTTCACCTTTCCCACAAAGAGATTAGAACGAACTTGGCATGTCTGCTTACTATGGTAATTGGATTTGCCAAAATCCAACATTTGGGAAAGCAGATTCTGGTGTGATAATTTACACGCCACACTCTGTTTGAACGCTATGTGCTTACCATTTCTTCTTAGGTAGACAGTTTGGGAAAGTGTCTTTGAAATACACCCTCTTTTAAGCACATGCATGAATCAATAAACCTTCGAGAATTCACTAATTTGAAATGAAAAACTTTATAAATCTTAATTTGTTTCTGATTTTGGTTTTTTTTGTTTTTTAATGCCCACTGAGAGGAAATAGTAAAGCACACAACGCACAAATAAAATTATGGCAAGTAACTTATCACACAAATGTGCTTTCAACAAACATTGCATTTAGGCAAAAATCAATTACCATAGTGAGCAGATATGCTATTTTTATGTTAAGAGTCTGAATTTGTTTGACTATGATCATTTGAAGCATATGTAATGTATTTTAAGGCTTTTTATCTCTAAAAGACAGCTTGTCAGTATTTTGCTAATTCTTTTTTTCTGTAATAAAAGGAATAAAATGGAGGGCTTGGTTGTAAAATAAGTGAGTTTTAATCTCAGAAACTATGGTCTCGTTCGTTTTACGGATTCGAGTTTTCAATTCGAGTTGAGATGTGATATTTTTTAGAGCTTTTAATTGTAGTAAAAAAAGTTAAATGTGATATTTTCTGAGAGCTTTTAACTATAGAAACTTAAAATTGAAAACTCTAATCGACGCAATAAACGAGGCCCAAATAATTTGATATTCATACTAACAATTTGATTGGATTTAGTTTTTTCATAATTTATTTAGAAAAAATATTGATATAACCCCGTTTGTTTCATAAATTGTTTTTTTCTTCCCTAAAAGGAAAGAAAATCGAGTGCTTAGTTGTATTATATATGAGTTTTAATCTCAAAAACAAGGTTGAATCAAATGTAGACTCAACTAAATAAAAATAGTATACACTTTTTTAAGAAAAAAAAAATAAAAGAGGTCTTTTTCTACAGAAACAAATTAAATATAAAGAGACTTGCAATAGGAAACTTCAGAAAATTATAACAACCTAGTTTTTTGTGAAGGTCATCACTTTGTATTGAAGTAGCAAGTTGTATGTGAAGAAGTTGAATCTGATCTAGAGATAACTAAATATTAAAATAAAAGGTGACTTTCAATAGGAAAGTTCAGTAAATTCATCCTTGTCTCACAGGGACAAACAAACGTGAAATTATTTTATTAGAAAATTACTATTGTACTCTTATACCGGGCTTCTATGATTAAACAATTTATAAAAAGCTATATTTTCCGTCTCTATTAGTAAAGTATATCTATATAAGTCCCCCCTTATGACCAAATCTAGAAACCAACCAACATTCCTCCAAAAACATAGAAGATTTGTTAGACGCAAATGGGTCCGAGGAAAATGTCAGTATTTACTCCAAATAAATAAGGGAAAACTATTCTCAATTTTTATGAAAACTACCCACTATGTTACATGTAATTTGCCTTCAAACACTTCCTTCACATTTCATCCATCTTTCGATGAAAAACCTAAAAGATGTATAAAAGATTGAATTATCCCATTAGGTAAATATGATTAAGGAAAAATATGTAATAGGATTATTCTCTGATTTTGGTGTATAAATTTTATCTTTTTTCTTCTTCTTTTTGTTTTCTAATCATATATACCTAATGGGCTAATTCTATCTTTTATATTTTTTTTATTTATTTTCTTTTTTGTATATTTACCGTTTTGACTTACCTTTTAAGTCCGCAGTCTTCCAAAGAGATCAATCTAATTCTGGCCACTAAAACAAGGTAACTTTTTTTTTTCCGTTTCTATTCAAATGGTTAAGAGAAATCACATGTTATACACTTATAGGTCTCGAACTTGTTCATGATAAGAGTATTCGTTCAAGAACAATTTCAAGACCTATAACATGTAATTTCTTTTAACCATTTCATCTGAAAGCAAAATCTGGATTTTCACACCTAACTTCTTCTTAGTCTCACAGCACTAAAATAGTTAATTGTATATCTAACATGTTGAATGGAATTATATCTAGTGCGTTATGATGGAGATTAAAGAACCGTTCATTTTACCGATTCTAATTTAGAATTCAAGTTTTGTCACAGTAAAAAGCTCTCAGAAATAGTTACATCTAATTTTTTTACTACAGTAAAAAACTCTCACATAAACTCACATCTCAACTCGAATTAAAAACTCAAATCAACGAACTAAACGACTCTTAAATCTATCTACTTTCGAAAATATTGCAACTAAATTTAGGCTAAATTTGCTTCCCAAAAGATTGCTATATGGAAGCCAAACATATGGGGTTGTAGATACTCCTTTGTTTTATGTCTACTTTCATTATTTTTATTATGTGGCATATTAATGATGAACGGTAAGTTGAGAATGTTATCCCACAGAAAAAAGATTGTCAGCAAAAATTAAAAAAAATAATAATTATTGAAAGACTAAAAATAAGTTTGTAAGTAACCTAGCAAATTGCTTAGATACTAACCTTGAAAATGTATCTTCTGGCCAAATGATGGAATTTCCACTATGTTCTTCAAGGCCCTGATCATCTTATGGCACGTGATCTTTGATCCATAATGCCAACAAATTGCGAACTAAAGTCCTAACAATAACAATCATTTGCTCTGTAGAAATTAATAAAATTAAGGGTCAACTGAAAAAAAAATTATTAAACAAAAGGACTAGTAACACTACATGGACAAGTGATAGAACATCAATTGGCTAGTCAATTTAGATTTTAGATAAACTATACGCATTAGATGCTAATCAAAGAGGGGAAACCAAAAACAAAATGAGCAATATTTACCTTATATTCAAAAGATTTGATCTGCCACAAGATCATTAGTGGAGATTAATTTCACCAATTTTTTTCGATGGACAAAAAAAAATTGTGAAATTGTTCAAAATATGGATATCATATAATGAACACGGGTTCAAATAAAGGAATTTATAGTTTTCTTCGTTCGTATCGAGAAAAATAAGAAAAGAAATAAAAATATAAGATTTTGAGAAATAGAGTGCGGATGATTTTATTCATTGCAAAACATCCTTGATAATCACTTATTTCACTAAATTTCTTGGCAACGGTTGACCGAAAGGTGAAACTATTCGAAAATATCGACATAGTATAATGAGCACTAGGTTCAAATGAAGGTTTATGTAATGGGTTTTTTTTGTGCAATAAGATCAGGAAAAAGATGAGAAAGAAAATGAAAATTAAGGAAAATTTTTTAGGGATTGAATGAAAAAGAAGAGATTTTTGGATATTCACACATAAATCCAGAGGCTCAACATTCATAGCGACTTCCAATTGTTAATTAGCAGCGGAGTAAAGAATGGAGAATGGATGTTTTGTGTAAAAAGAGATACGATACTAAAAAGTGTTAAGACCGAGACATGTGTTTTTTAAGTGCTTATAAATAGTGAAAATAAAGAGAGATTTTACATAAATATCTCCTTTGCCCGCTAAGTGTTTGAGGATATAATAGTAAAACTAACATATCATTAAAGTTTGTGTTTGAGATACTTTGAAAGTTACTCTAGTTTTCTAAGATAAAATATATTTTGCTATATGGTCTTTATAACTTCAGATGTTTTGCACTCAAAAAAATAAATAACTAAATCAACTTTCAAATTAAGTAAGAAAAATTAAAAATTTGATATTCTTTTTTATATCTATACAAGGTACAGTTATGGACTTCTAATTGTGATAGTCCCTAAATCAAATAATAGAAACCTTTTTAAATCTGATGAAAATGTAATAGCATACAGATGCGTATTATTGATAGAGTTTTTTTTTTTTAACTGTATCACAAAATTTTTGACTATTTGCGTCACACATTCATTTTGTTCTCTCATTAGAATAAAAGAGAAAAAAAAAAAAAAATTTATAGGCCTAAACAAAACATAAGTGGATTCATTGTACCAAATCAATCCCAAATGGTAACAACATAGATACGCTCAAGACTTGCCTAATTGCCTTTTACAGAGAAACCCCAAATGGTAACAAAAAAGTTTTTTTCTACAAAAATTACTAAAATATTTCCTTCTACATAGAAACCCCAAGTGAGCCACTACCACGTGTATGATTAGGAGGGAAAACAGAGGAGAAGAAAACGTCCTTATGGTTAAATCAATTAGAGAAATAATTATATTATATGAAAATAATCAATTGGAGAGAGTGGAGTAAAAAATTTGACTACCAATAAGGCCAATGCTCACAACAACAAATTCCATTAAATTTGCTTACTTTTTATAAATTCTATCAAAAATTTATATACGTTTTAATACGACCTAACGGTACAAAGCTATGCGCCATATCACCAATAAGTTTTTTTTTTCCCTCACCGACCGCGAAATTGTTAAAACTAATTCGTTATATCACCAAACCGCTTGCACCCTAATAGCCAAAAAGATATCCCACGCGTATAAAATTACTCAACAATAGTGTCTTCGCTTTTTTTTTTTTTTTTTTTTTTTTGGGGTGTCAATTGCAAAAAAAATCCAGGTTAACGAAACAAGTTGCAACGTCGCAAAAGAGCATAGATTCGATTTCCATTTTTTTTTTCTTTTTTGCTACAGATTCCATTTCCATACGTTTGTTATTTGGGCAGTTTTTTTTTTCTTTTTTTTATTCTTCTATGGCATATATTATATGGCTAAGCTTTTTTAATAAGATATGTTTATATTTTGTAATAATCTCCATGACATTTTACTCATAAATAAACGTTGTCAAAAATGAAAGTAAAAGCACAGTAGCATATGCGAAACAAGTTTTAGCAAAGCAACAATAAGAACTACGGCAGTAATATCATAACCAGAAAATAATCAGGAACTCCCTAGATCTAAAACCCATTAATTGGAACAAACATGGTTGATCAACAAGACTGCAAAACTATAACCCCTCAAATCCTGATAGCCTCCAACAACTAAGCTCATTGGGCCTTGACATGCTGCTGAACAACATGAAGGGCTTCATGATCCTCCCCAAAATCCTGCAGCATTCCAACACGAGGAAAAACAAATTAACACCAAAGTATAAACAAAGATGATCATAATCAACATAATAATATACAGCCCGTCTGCTTCGATTTGAACAGAAATTCAAATTTTTGATGAGAGAACGATATAGCAAAAAGATTTGAACCTGCGCAACAAACGGGCTAACAATCTACTTTGATCTCATTTCTCTTTTCGTGCAAAAAATGTGATTGAAGATGGATTGAATCATACCTTGACAACAACACAGGCGCATCCAACTACCTTCCTGGCCTTTCCCTCAGAATCAATCTTGCACAACTGCATTAACAGAAATCACAACAGCATTAAGGTAAGAAGAGAAGACCAATCCCAAATCAACACATCAACTCTTCACACAATGTCAGCCTCTGCCTAGCTGAAAAACCAGTGCTCATAATCACCACAATCCCAACTAAATGAAAATACTTGACAATTTTTAAAAGAGAAACCAACATTCTTTTGCTTTACTAAGGATTTGAGCTTTTGAAAAGGGCACTTACACCAGCCCACTCTCCAAGAGTCTTGGCGCTGGGGACGGTCAGCATGTTGACATTGTGGTCGGCGCAGAGGGCTTTGACAAGCTTAACGTAGTCAGGCTGGTCGCAATCCTCAGCCAAAACGCAGAGCTGCGCGGCGTGCTTTTCGATGACCTTGGCGGACTCGTGGAGGCCTCGAATGAGCCCTCCGTGCGCCAGCGACTTCCTCAGCACCAGCTGCAACGCCGTCGTTATGTCCATTGGCTCCCCGAGAGCTGGGGCTGCTGCTGCTTCAACGGCCACCGCACCTTCTTCACTGCATTTTCAATGTAATTTAAATTTCTCAATCCCTCTAAGACTATATCAATATTTTTTTCTCCCACGTACGCAGACAAAAGTGGCTAGGAACAAAAAATGTGCATCAAAATTTCTCCCCTAGTTTTTGAATTTACTCAAAAATGACAAGAAATTCTTTTTTTTTCTAAAATTAACTAGGATCCTAAGATACCTACATATATAACTTCCTAAGCCGTAAGAATTCTAGTTAGAACACTACCTAAACCCGAAAATCAATTTCATTTCGTTTTCGGGGAAAAAAAACCCAAATTGCTAAAACGTGAATTAACACAAAATCGGCCGACTTTATAATTTAAAGTAAATAAAGATTGAGCTTTTCTACGTACCCTGACATTGTCGCTCTTGATGTTCAAGATTGTTTCTGGATCCTGAAAAACATTATCAAATGCCCAAAAATCAGAAGATAAGCACTGAATATAGATATAATCAGCATGTAAGCACTGAATATAGATATAATCAGCATGTGCACAGAGAGAGAGAGAGAGAGAGAGAGAGTAACCTTGAAGACTGAGATGAGGTAGACGAAGGTAGAAGTGTGGTCTGCGTTCGGGGGCAAAAACGAAAGCTGTCAGACTCGGAATGCGGAGGATGCTTTTATAGGGCAAACCCTAGAATAACAACCCTAACCCAAAAAACAAACGTTCAGGTCATTTTCTAAGTTCACTGTCGTTTAAGTCATAAACGACATAGCATTTTTGTGTCGTTTATTATTAAGACGACATATATTAAAAAAAAAAAAAAAAAAAAAAAAAAAAAAAAAAAAAAAAAAAAAAAACCTAAACGACGGAAAACAAAAAGAAATTAGTGGTGTCATTTTTATTGAATAAAAAAGAAAGAAAAAACAAAAATTAAAATTAAGGGAAAATGAGACAAATATCTTTTGGGTAATCTTGACAAATATTTCTTGAAAGTATATGGGTAAGATTTTTATCATTTACTTTTAATTCATAACCTTTTTAGTCAAATAATTACACTAACAAAATGATATTATCAAGAGTAATGAGTAAATATCCAAATTTATGCACTCTCAATGATGAATTTTCTATTTTTCATACCCTTCAAACTGTATAAGTCTAACCTTTTACTATTGATTAACATCATTTTTAGTCAATAGATATTAATCAAGAGTAAAAAAGTAAAAATCTAGATTGATGCACTCTAAGTTTAGCTCAGCAATTTTCTCTAAAAGATTAAACAAGAACCCTAATTTTATCAACAACAAAAAATCACATTTACTTTTCCCTTCATATTCGAGCATAATGTTATTTTTACCGATATGACTGTAAAATGACAAAAGTCAGTCTAAAAATTGGCACCTGCTATCAATTTTGATGTAGTTATCAACAATTTAACTATTTCATTCTAAAACGTTAAAAAAAAAAAGGGCGACAAGTTGTCACTTACTAAATAATTTGATACCATTTGCTTCAAAAACCTTATTTCAAACCAAAATAATTTGATACCATTTGTTTAAAAATTAAAAGTTACATGCTTAGATGAGCTGGCACATCTAAACCCATACTGAGCGAGGATGGGCCTTGAATGGGTCAGCTCATTCAAGGCCCATAGCACGGCTCATCCTGGCCCACGACACGGCCCAACTTGGCCCACGGCACGGTCCAGCCTGGCCCACGTAAAATTGACACGTGGTGTGAGCTGAGCCAAGATAATTCTTATAAGGGCTGGCCCGACACGGCCCACAAAACTCGTGGGATGGGCCGGCCCAGTCCACGGCCTGCGTGGACCTATGGAGAACGGGCTGGGCTGGGCCGGCCCGTTCTTGCATCTCTAAGCATTTACTATCATAAAAGCGTACTATATTTGTAAAAATTAAACTCAAAAGAATTAATGGAAGCCCACTCTACCAATAAGCATGTGGTTTAATTCGTTAATAAAAAAGATCTTACTATGAAAGTCCAAAAAGTGATGAGTAACATGGAGAAAGTGACATAGCGGAAGGAAATGAGAAAAATAGAAAAAATGGATAAATTCATATTATCCGTTGATTCGCGTAGAATACCGGAAAACCCGTTGATTCAATCGGAATACCGGAAAATAAGACTTTTATAGACCTATTGATTCGCTCATGAATACCAAGAAAATATGCATTAATCACTCGTTGATTCAACAGAATACCGAGAAGATTGGAATCAATATGTTAAGAGAACTCTCAAAGCATATAATTTTTATTAATCTCTGAAAGAACTATCAATAACAAAGCTAGGCTCTCCTATTTATAGAAGACTACAATTTGAAAACGAAAAGGAAACTGAAACTAATCCTAAATATTCTAAATTTAAAATTTAAAAATAACTAAATCATATAAGTAGTTAAAAATAAGGAAACAACTAAATAAATTAAAATTCCAATTTTGAAGTCTAACATCTTTGTGCTACATCAGACCTACCGGGTAGGAAAAGATTCGTCCTCGAATCTTAAGTAGCCTCAATTGGTATTGAAAGAGAACAACTTTCATGATCTTTGCACAACTTGTCTGGAAATCAAATAAATTGTTGAACTTGCTAAGTCAAACCCTTAAAAATTTTTTCTTCAATGGTAATTGCGCTGAAAACCGATATGGGATCTTCCTTTTCTTCAAGTTGCGCATCTCTGAATTCATAGGCAGTGGGTGCATTGACATGGATGGTGGGATGACGACAAAGCAACATGGTTAAATTGATAGAGGAGAGCTTTGGCTCTAATACCAACTGACGTAGAGGAAGTAAATGAGAAAAATAGAAAAAAAGAATAAATTCATATTATCCGTTGATTCGCATAGAATACCAGAAAACCCGTTGATTCGATCGAAATACCGAAAAATAAGACTTCTATAGACCTGTTGATTCACTCACGAATATCAAAAAAATAGGCATCAATCACTCATTGATTCAACATAATACCGAGAATATTGAAATCAATATGTTGAGAGAACTCTCAAAGCATATAATTTTTATTAATCTCTGAAAGAATTATCAATAACAAAGCTAGGCTCTCCTATTTATAGAAGACTATAATTTGAAAATAAAAAGGAAACTGAAACTAATCCTAAATATTCTAAATTTAAAATTTGAAAATAACTAAATCATATAAACAGTTAAAAATAAAGAAACAACTACATAAATTAAAATTTCAATTTTGAAGTCTAACATCCTTGCGCTGCATCAGAAAGAGTTAAATACATTTAAAAAAAAACCTATGGTAAATAGCGTATTTTAAAATGTTATGTAAATATCATATTTACAATAGACGATTAATTTCCAAAACATATTTATGGTGGATTTATATTAGAATCATTTACAATAAATGTGTTTTTTACCGTAAATATTTCAAAATATCTTATTTATCCGAAATACTTCTCCTGTCCGCACAATTTTTTTTTTAATTAATAAGTGGTTTTTGTGCAAAGTAAAAAAAAAAAGAAAAAAAAAAGAGTTTATACTCAAAAATTTTCACTTATTTTTTTTTAAAATACGACAAGACGTTAAATTTTGGTTGTCGTTTAGTCATTGTTTGTCCATTACTCTCCGTCGTTTATTGTTCAATCTGGAAGAAATTGTCGTCTTTATTAGACAACATACGACATATCGTTTTTAATATGCTGATTGCTGTTTCAACTCGAAACGACAGTAGTTTAAGGAAAAAGTACATTGTTATTCATGTTAAAACGACATGTCGTTATGGCTAACTGTCGATTAACCCCTGCATCAGAATTGTGGCGTCATGACATGTCGTTTTCATAGCCGACTGTCGTTTAATACAGAGAACGGGAATGGATTACGCCATGTAGTTGACTGGGTTCTTGTTTGCGATCATTAACGATTCGTTCGATTATAAGAACACGAGCACAACATTTTTATGTTTCTTTTTTTATTATTATTATTTATTATTTTTTCCGACAAACTGAAAAGGAAAGTGTTTTTGAAACCCATGAACGACTACCATTGAAAAGCTTCAACGCATGCTGGTTTACAAACATGAAGAATGGTAGGGGGAAAAAGTATTCATTTCAAAAAATAAGACCGTTTAATTGTTAATTTAAGTTTTTAATTAAAATTAAAATATAATTTTATATAAAAAAATTTTACATTAAAAAAAAATTATAATAAAAAAATTATGAAAATTTTTTACTCTATTAAAATTCAAATTCAAATTCTAAATTCTAGAATTTGAACGGTAAAATAAACATGTAAAAAAAAAAAAAAAACCTCGTAAATTTGACAAGTCAACTCAGAAAAAAAAAACTCATAAATTCGACAAGTCATAATAGGACCTGTTTAATTCACTGATTCGAGTTGAGATGTAATTTTAGGTGAAAATTTTTTATTGTAACAAAAAAATTAGATGTGATTATTTGTTAGAGTTTTTTTACTGTAGTAAAACTCGAATTTTAAATTTAAATTAGCGAAATAAACGAGCCTAAAGTTCAACAAAACATAGAAGCCTAGGTTCTTAAAATGCCCATGAAAAGCAACACAGTGGTACTGAAGGATCTTTACTTCCTGTTTCCATTTTAGAAAGAAAATTATGTACAAACAAAAAATGCTGAATATACAACCACAGAAAGAGTGATATTATTCAACCCGGGAAAAAAAAAAAAAAAGAAACAGCATCTAAACTATAGTGGGAAATGAAAAAAAAAAAAAAAAAGAATGCAAAGGTAGTGTAGAGATAACAAGATTACCAAAAACTATTCATAGATTAAGAAACCTTTTTGTTTCCAAAAGTGTACACAGAAATGTTGATACGAGGCACGGAAGAGAACTAACACAACTCTCCCTTTTTTTTTTTTTTAGCTCAATTGAAAAACATTTTTCACCTCAATGAGTAGTATTATTGAGTCCATTCTCAACACCTAAACCATACAACACACCTGCGTACTTCTCCAGAGAACCGCTGAAGAAATTCTCCTTCAATTTCCTGAACGCACAAGACGTCAGCAAGCTATCGGAACCGGCCTGGTGACAAATCCCAACTCTCTCCACCTCCAAAAGCTCCGCAAGCTTGTTCAGCCCACCATGGAGGCTATTGCAGAACTTCATCAAATGCTTGATGTCGTAAACCGTAGGGAAATACATGTTGATCAGATTGAAGAACCCCGCTTGGGTATCAGGCAAGTCCTGGCATGTTAGGAGCTTGAGCAAGTACCCGAAATCGTAACCGCTATGGAAAGTTACCCAATGAACACTGTCGTTCAACACGATCCCGGACGACATCAGGAGCTCTCCAAATCGCTTCGCGTCGATTCCTTCCTCGTTGTTCTTCTTCAAGTCGATGCCGCTCTGGCGGAGGAGCTCGATCGAGTCGTTCGCGAAGACGTCCTCGTTGACGTTGAACTCACGGAAGTTGAATTGCCAGATGCAGTACTCGCCGGAGGCTCCGCAGGCCGGGAGGTTCCCGTGCTCGTCGGAGAAGGTGAGGCCTAATTGGATGAGCTTCAACATGTCGACGTTGTCCTTCAAGGTCTGATAATGGAAGTCGTAGCTGTTCTTGAAGTTCCCCACTGGACGGAGGACGATCCCCGGGAACTCCGTGTCCATGGCGACGTAGGGATATTGATCGACGATGTCGCGGATTAGGGCGAATTCCTCATCGAGATTGTCGTTCCACACCTCGCGGATGTGAATCGAATCGGTTTTAGGTAATTCCGGCATTCCCTCGGGGCAAAATTCACTGGATCGAGACCACAAAATCGCCAGAAAAAGAATATAATCCGGCGAGATCCGCGACAAATTAAGAGCTTCAGCTACGAAATCGAGGAAGAATTCATCAAATCAAATACTTCAATGATCAATTTACAAGAAATCGATGTAAAACCTAGAAGAATTTGGGGGAGAATCCAATCCAACCTCAAATGAAGGAATCTGAGGATTGCGTCGTGGATCTGAAACGCGACAAGTTGCGGAATCTAGAGAGAGGAAAGAGAAACCGGAATCATTTTCCCCTGAACAGAGAGAGATGAAGAAATGCGTGTCTCCCTATCTAGGGTTTCAAAAATATGTGTTGGCGAGGCGGTGAGAGGGAGGAAGGCGATATTTCTTTCTTTTCTTTTCTTTTTTTTTTTTAAAAAGAAAAAAAGAAATGATCGCTGTGGAGGGGGTGGGGTGGGGAATGGCGGGGGTCGTTCTTGTTTTCCTTTTCGCGTGTTTTAATTTTGTTTTTTTTTGTTTTGTTTTGTTTTTTTTTCTCTTTTTCTTTGCAAAGAAAATTAAGAAAAGTCTTGGCAAGAGGAGAGAAAGTAGAGGAAGGTCAATTTGGGCCCTTCCCTACTCGCCTCCTCATACACGCCAATCCAAGAGGAGGATGGAGATTTTTGTCGTTTTATTTTTAGGAATTAAGGAAATAAATACGTGGTGAACACAAATCGGTAACGATGTCTTTTTTTTTTTTTCTTTTTTTAATTTCTTAAATTTTTTGGTCTCTAAAACATAGTAGTCTTTGTTTGAGCACGTTGTTCTCTTCTCATCTATTTTAGCATTTTCTTTTACTTTTACTATTTAATAAAAAATAATGTAGTCTGATGCCAATAAAAAAAAAAGAAGAAGAAAGTCATGTGAGTTATGAGTTCATGCTTCGTGTGCGTGGCCACGCTCTAGAGTCTGGAGCGTATATCCTAGATATTTATCGGAATGACTTCAGCCTTATGGTTATCGAACGGTACAAAACGGTTTTACTTTTACTATTTAATAAAAATCATGCACTCATGCCAATAAAAAAAAAAAAAAAAAAGTCATGAACTGCTATCTTAGTATGATTTATTGAGTTCATGCTTAGTATGCTTCATGCTTCCTAAGATATTTATCGGAATGACTTCAGTCTTATGGTCATTGAACGGTACAAAACGGTTTAAGAAAATCATGATGAAAGAACCCCTTTTTTTTTTTTTTTTTTTTTTTTTTTTTTTTTTTTTTTTTTTCCTGGCCAATTTTCCGAATATATTGGTTTATAAGATCCGAAGCTGAAGGGAGCAAAAATATATGAGAAAAGTTGGAACCACAGTAACGATGTTAGCTTTACCTCAAGTGGTTTCAAAGATAGGAGAGAAATAAAAAATGAGAGATTTGTACAATTCCTTCCTTCCTCGGGAATATTCTACGAAGCATAGGTTTTTTTTCCACACTGCTAGCATAAGAAAAGGGTTACATTAGCACGTTAAAACCGTCAGCTTGTATCGCTTGCAAATGCATCTCCCCTTGCAAAAGGTTATCAGCTCCCACTTCTTTTTCTCAACATTCCCTGCCACTAAGAAAGAACTCATGAATAAAAACTATAGCTTTATGAAAGTTTTAATATAATTTCTTTGCATATCGACAATTAAGCCAAAAGATATCATTTGGTTAACCAAAACCATTGAAGCCTGATTTGGGAGAATGAATGAGCCCAAGCCTTGTGAACAATTGGATTTTGAAATGTATAAAATACTGACCTTCACTATGTTCTCTTGCGCTTAAGTTGCTTCATATTCATCAGGGCAAAAGCAATTACTTCCTTTAAGGTGGCTTTTCTTCCTTCTTTAAAGTTCCAAAGTTCAAGAACAGTGTATCTCCCACTCGGATTATACTCGTTAATTTCTTTGAAGGCTGTAACAACTGCCGTATATATCTCATCTCCCCACTCCTCCCTGAGATTTCTCAGCTGCTCATCTTCCTCGTCTATTACTTCCTGCATTGTAATTTATTAGTATAACATCAGATTCAGAGACATGAAACCTCCCCCAAACAACCACGTTCTTTACAAGTTCCAAATAAGGCAACAAATGTCATCTAAATTTTTCCCATAAAATCACCCTCATTCTCCATTAACATGATGAAAGAAACAGAAAGACTGGAGAAGACGCGCGTAGTACGTCAGCAAACACACACACACACACAGCTATCAAACTAGTCCATGAACAAGCTTCAACATAGCTTTAATGCAGCATGCTTCAAAGTTGAAAATTAATTTAAACAAAGGATATACCTGGTGATTCCCATTAATAGTAACCACCTTAAGTGGATGCCAACTTGGATCTTTAAGTTTTTCTGCCCACAAGGAGCATAGAGTGCTGCCCTGCAGTTCTGGTTCCTCCAGAGATCTTTCCCTGCATACCTTGATGAAGGGCTTCTCATCAAGATCTCCCATTCGCTTTATTCCAATATGAGTCTTGGCAGTCAATAAATCAGTTGCCTGAGAAAAAAGTCTTGTCAGTCCAATTTGTCATTGTTTACTCATCATGTGACGTATATGTGTGTCTTGGAGGTTGTTCTATGGTCTGAGGCAGTCAACCACTGATATTATGTAATAAAAGATTTTTTTTTTTTAAATTGTCAAACGATTGGAATTGGAGTTAAGATAATATACCACTGATTACTAATTTTCTAGTAATCCTTCAGAAGCATGCTGTACATAAGGCACTTTGGACGATCATAATCATCTTTCATAAGCTAATTATGATATTTGGACTGTACATAATGGGGCAATAATTTAGCTCTCCTTTTTTTTCTAAGCTAATTATGATATTTGGACTGTACATAATGGGGCAATAATTTAGCTGTCTCCTTTTTTTTTCCCCTTTTGAAATATTTAGTGGTCTCCTACTCCTATTAAAAAAGTCATATCCAATGTTGATTGAGGCATTTCTTGCATGCTGCATTCCGATACTAGAAACATACGATAAATGACAATAATCATTTAACTTTCTTGTCTGACTCTCTGACAAAAGGAAAAGGTCAAAAACTTACAGCAATTAACGCTTTACGAGCTTCTTGTAACTCATCATTGGTCTCGCGTTCTTTAGTTAGAAGAGTCTGATTTAGAGACTCCAAATCGTCCATATTATCAATTTTTTCCTTCAACTCATCATTCATTTCTTTCATCTTTGCTTGGACGGCTTCATCATCTTTTCCTAGATGTTCCATCACCTGTAGTTTCCCTTTTAACTCTTCAATTTCCATTTCCAACTTCTGCTTAGCATCCAGCTGCTTCTCTAACTGAAGTACTTTATTCAAGGCTTCTTCTTTCTCCCTCTGAAAAAGTTAAATGGAATTTTTAGTAGTACGGGTATGAAAGTAGCAGCAAGAGAATGAAGTAAAGACACCAAAGTTACAGGAATAAGTAGCAGACCTTTTGCTCTTCAACCAGCCTACAGAAATTCTCATCAGCCCTTTTTTGCTCCATCGAAGCCAATTCAAGAGAACTGTTTATCACATTATTCTAGAAAAGGAGAAAACATCAGTTACAAGAATACAGAATCATTGGAAACAAACAATTATAACACTTCAAAAGGCTCCTGCTTATGCTGACAAGTAAGTGGATATACCTTTCTTGGAAAAGAAAAATTGGGAACAAAAAAGCCATCAGGTCATTAAGTTCATCTAATGATGTAAATGGTTGACATGACAAATGTGCACCTGTGTGCATAAAGCACGCAATGCAAGTAACTTGTTTGAAAGAAGAACTGTACTGATGTTTATATCCAATCAGGCAGCACTGAAAAAACAGATGAATAAGTAATAACTAGGACGACCAAAAGATTACCACAGCCGAAGGTAAGAGTTAGTTAGGTGACTAGTAAAGTGCAATATTGGGCCGGTAAGAATTGCCTCATACTCTACCTTTTGTTTCTCCTCGTCAAGTTGTGTTCTTTCACGCTCAGTTTGTGCCTCGCGTTTGTTTAATTCTTTGCTCCAGGAATCAATTTTCTTCTTCTTTCTCTCTAACTCATTACTCAATTTTTCCTGTTCTGCTAAAACCTTTTCAACATTCTCTCGTGCAATGCGCTGCATCTTCCTTGTTTCTGATCAATAAGCATAAAAAATTTGTATCAATATTGCATATAAAATCAGTCACAAATTAAAAGAGAGACAGAGATAAACCTTCAATAAAAGCTAGGTGTAGCGACTCTTTCTCTTCAAGTATCCTACTCATAGACATGGTCTTCTCATTGTATTTGTACTGTAGCTCATCCAGGTTTTCATTTGTCATGTCAATTTTTGTAGCCAAGTGTGCCACAACAGTATTTCTGTTTTGAGCTGCTTCACGATCAATATCAGATATTGTTCTCAGCTGTCCTTTCTGGCGGAGGTATTCCCCTATTAGCCCCTGGGAATTGTAGTCGTCCGCACGTGCACACCAACCATAGATATTTGAGCCACGACGCATTTCCGGTACATCCATCCAACTCTTTTTGCCACGGCCATCATTTTCCAAGATCTTTTCAAATTGAGTCGCATTCATAAAACCGTTCCAATCCCCTTCAAATTCTACAATGGCCTCTGACGTTCGGTCTTTCCCATTCCAAAAAGTTTGAACGCTCGAAGGTTTGCATTTGGAGAACTTGGTTAACCAGTGACTAGAATTGGGGAAACTTAATCCATCATTTCCTCCCCCCACTATGTTTACAATAATCCCCGTCCAAGGCCACACATATCGATTATCTTGTTCGGTATGCTGCAAGACAGGCCTTGAGACGACTGGAAGCTCAGTTTGAGCTACTTCACCTGCTAGCTCAGCCTCCAAATACTTTGCCAAGGCAAGGTGGTTCGCCTTTTGTTTCGCACTTCTGTTAGCTGAACCTTTAGAAACTCCAGAAGCGTGTTGTAGCAAATCCTTAAACTTGTAATCTTGCTTCTTCTTCCCAGCACAAAAGGGGCACTTAAGGGTACCATTGGCGCCCTTTACTTTGTAAGTTCCATCTCTCAATTGCCCATACGGTTTCTCAGCATAGTCCTTGATTTCAGAGTCACTGATATCTGATTCATCGTCCGAGCTGTAGTCCATCTGATTTAAATTTGAAATCCACATTAGAAACATGCATTAAACTAACAAAAAATTTGGCAGAAAGACAATAACATGATTCAGCAACTTCACACTAGAATCCCAAAATAGCAAAAAAAAAAAAAAACAATTACAAAGCTATTCACGAAGCCACGATACATTCTTAATCAAGAAAACATACAAACATGGACACAACACAAACACATTATTATCATCAGCATAACAATTTCCGCGAAACGACATTCGCAGTAAACATATCACAAAGTTTGCTCTATGGCTACTAATACTAACTCCGAAAAACGCAATTTCTTTGGGAGACAGATAACTAAGTCCATCCACATCTAAAACCCTAAATTTCAACCAAAACAAAAAAAATATATAAAAAATATAAAACAAAAAGAACAAAAAACGAAGCAGTATCAGCTCTTTAGGGGCTAAAATTCATGTTTCGACTACAAATGCAAAGCGATATAAGCAATCTGGAGCTTCTTTAACAAAGTTCCACAGTATTTCCAGAATCAAGTTTTCGCCACAATCAATACAAGCAAATCGCGAAAAACTTGTGCTCACAAACAGAATATAAACATGCATCCAAAAATGCTCGCAAAACTCAAAAATTAAGAGAAATTTCTTCAGATTCAGAGAAATATCTTTCCACATTCTAGAGAGAGAAGGAAGCTTACTCTAGAGAGAGGAAGATGGAGAGAACGAGACCGTCTGTGCAGAGTGATTTTGGGTCGTCTTCGTCGTTTGGATGAAGAATGTGGACACGATAGAACCCTTGTCGGGTTTTTACCCGCAGAGAGAGGGGAATATCCGAATATCTTTACCTTGGTCTAGAGTTGAAAAAACATGGCAAGATCTAATTGGATTTTCGAAGGCAAGGCAGATGAAAGGTGACGACTTTTGAACTTTGAACCAATCAACCTGGGGCTTTGCATCGGAGTTTCGTAGTCCTGAGCGTAGCGAATTAATAGGAGTTACTCCGCTCCTCAGATAGAGTCAAAACTATGGTCTTTTTACCGGCATGCGAGTCAGGAAATTTTTGTAGTTGTGGTCTTCATTGAATCATATTTTGACACGTGAATTATGGGCCCTGTCCGAGAAAAATCTGAATCTAGCTGGCACAGAGCACTGAAACTCGCATCTTTTCCCCCCTCAAATCATTCGTTTATAATTTTATATCTACTACTCTATTCTTTTTAAATAATATATTAGGTCCGTTAATTTTAATATTAGAGGACGTTTGGTTAGAGGATTCAAATCATATGATTCGAATTATTTTTTATTTACGTGAATTTTTTGTGAGAAAAAATACTATAACGAACCATGAATCATGATTCGAATTAGGGAATGAATCCCTCTACCAAACATCCTCACTTTTTGAGTACAGTATAGATTAAGGGCATGTTCTTTTGTTCAAAAAATTTAAAAAAAGACAACTCAAGTTTAATTTTATTTAAATTCACGTTCTTTTAAGTTTTAACTTAATTCAATTTTACTCAACTTTATTCAAGTTTTAACTTCAACTCAAGTTATAACTCAAATTCAACTCAAAAACTACACTCAAGTTACACTCCAAAAGAACAACCCCTAAGTTTTTTAACTGTTAGATTTACATAAAATTACATAAAAATAAAAAAAATATGCATATTTAAAAGTTAAAAAAATTTAACCTATAAGTAAGTTGTTGCTATTTTATTGACAATTATTTAAAATATTAACACATTAACTAATAACAAAAAATTGTATTCATCAATAAGGAAATATTAACTAAAAGTTAGCGCAAGATTAGCACAAAAATTTAGGATTGAAGTTGGTACGTTTTTTCCCCCTTCTTTCTCTAAGCTAGCTATTATATATCTGCAGGTGTGGCTCTTTTTTAATTTCTTACAAAAATTTTCCTTCGATGGTTGTGTTTTGTGTGTGTGAGTGTGTGTGTATATGTGTGTGTGTGTGTGTGTGTGTGTGTATATACACATATCTTTTTTACTTTGAAATAACAAATAAGGGTTACCAAAGTAAGTCCACGGTTCAAGCTTCATATATATATTGTTCAATAAATCATTAGTAATTATATTGAGAAATGAAACCATGTTTTAATTTGTCGTTACCCTGAGAATTATTCATTCAAAGCAGGCTAGATGTATTGGAGAAACCATATTCTAAGAAACAACTGATAAAAAAAACATATGAGAGGCTTTCTGAATCCATTTACTTTAATAAAGAATATGGTATATACAAATCTCAAAAGAAAAAAGAAAACTTCTATTTGTGCTTATTGAATAATCTACTCTTACTCGTTCTCAAAAAAGAAAAAATAAACTACTCTATGGTAATGGGGATGTTATGATATATAAGTTCAACTTAGCAATATGAAATCCATAAAAAAATAATAATAATAAAGAACACACGTAAACATATATGTCTCCTAATTAATTATTGATTTGTTTAGATGTCATTATAAATCCCACGTTGATCTCCTATTACTATAGATACGTAAGGATAAATTCTCGTGGTCTTCCTTGAAACAATTATAACACACTAGAACTAGCTAGTAGATTCTTTCAAGACAAATTAATTTGATTCCTTTACCATTCAATAATCATTAATATATAGACGACTTGGTGAGGATGAATGAATACATGCGCGTTACTCTTCATGATCGCAGTGTCAAGTATTTGACAACTTTTCTTTACCACATTAGCAGATAACATATTAATGGCAATGATTCATTCAACTCAAGCATCGAGTGCATGCTATAGGCACACAAACGTCTATTATTCATGAAATAATTAATTATTTTGACTTCTATATGTGTATATACATATACACGTATGTGTGTGTGTGTGTGTTTGTGTGTGTGTATATATATATATATATATATCGTGGTAGTGTATCATGATTAAACGAAATTAAACGAAATTAAGTGGAACTTTTTCGTCAACTTCCAAAGTGTGGCCAACATCACTCGAGAAATAATCCACGAATTTGGTAAGAAGTAACACTAGCTAGTAAGGAAAGAAAAAGTCATCAAACACACATATCGGCCTTGTTTACGGTCCCATCCTGGTGCACTATCTCCCCATATATAAAATGTGGAAGTGGAAACGTGACGACATTATAATAATTTAACGTAATACGTATATTATTTGATATAACATGAAATTATTTAATGTGACACTAATATTAGAAAGACGTAACACCAATAAATTTAACTATTTCAGACTATTGTTACACTTTAATTTAATCATTTAACATGACACGAGTTTTAGAAATATATACTGATAATCAGAGATGATTAAACATTTTGATGTCTCACATTTTTAATATCGATTACGTTAAATAAATATCATGTTACATTTTTACTTCTACATGTTATATTAGAGAGACTCTCCTAGGAAATCATACATCAAACATTTCATCATAAGATTTCACATATATCTATTAAGTACTGAGAGATTATTGCACAAGGTACAATAAATATAAAATTTCATAATTTTAGGGTTCATCAAATTTCACATATAAATAGAATTAAAGATAAATTACGGCAGGGGCAACGGCCTACGTACCCTTAACAGTGGGTGGCTCCGCACAGATTCTATATACTGGACCTAAATTACCAACTCTTACATAATCTTTCTTTTCATTTTCCGTATTAAAGGAATTATTTTGGCATCATATATAAGTTTAATTTATTTCCCGTTGTTCTGTTTGCTTACTACGTACATTTCTAGCCCTGTGTGGATCATTGATTAATTTGCATTTAGCACGTAACTGTTGAAACTAAATTGTAGGAAGTAAAGCAGTCAACGGAATGACAGTACTGGCAGTGGCTTGTGGATCATACGCATCCTTCTAGAGATCGCGTAACAACCAACCAGCCATTTGATTAATTTTGATCCTACGACAAAATAGTTGTTGAAACGCCTTTTTTTTTATATTTAATTTGGTTTTTCTGGACGCACAAAATTCCACACCCAAAAGCATTAATTAAGAAGTGAATCAAGTAGTCCTTGAATTCACCATATCCTGTCATTCCAACAGTGGTGATTCTTAAACGCTTCTTTCGCCCGGTCTAGATTCTAGAATAATAGTTGATTTTATATATATATATATCTTCACTTTGTTGATTCAAGTTTATAATTTAAATTGAGATGTGTTTTTATATGAGAGTTTTTTACTGTAACAAACAAGTTAGATGTGACTGTTTATGAGAACTTTTTAGTGTAACAAAACTCAAATTCTAAACTCGAATCGATGAAATGAACGTGACCTATATATATCATGATCGACGACGACCCCACAACTTCACATTAATCTGAAAAGATTGGTATCGGATTCTTGTTCCATCGTGACAAGCATATTTTACCAACTTCTCCGTGCATTCCAGTACCTGTTTTTACCAAACACTAAAAAACAAAAAAAAAAAATTAAAATTTCGTTCATTTTACTGATTCGAATTTAAAATTTGAGTTTTGTTACAATAAAAAGTTATCAGAAACAGTCACATTTATTTTTTTTACTACAATAAAAGGTTCTCACATAAAATTATATCTCAATTTAAATTAAAAATTCAAATCAACAAACTAAACGACTCATAAATAATTATTGCTAAACATTTGGTTTGCTTTCCCTTGACTAATTTTTCTGTTGGTTTCTCAAACCGGATTTTCAAAAAAAAATTGTGCGGAAGCGTGGTATCGATCGAATCACATAAATTAAAATTTAATGCGATCATTATTTCATGTTAATTTAACTACAAAGATATTAAAGAAAGGAATGAGGATTTGACCGTCACTCGATTATGACGTAAATTTTGAACTCCTCCAACACCGTCTTGAGCTCTTAAATTCCAAGAATACCACGGTTCTTTCTCAATGTATCTCCAGATTAATGTGAACTCGAACGTGTGGGCGTTCTAATGGGTTTCTCAACACATGAGATGGATAAATAGGGATGCCACCTATAGTTATCACTCACTTTTCTCAAAAGTATGTGATAGCACTCTATAAATTTTCTTTTTTGATTTTTCTTTTTGTTCTCCCGTTTTTCACACTTTCTCTTCTCTGTGGAAAAATCCTATGAATCCATCCTGAGGATTAAAAAAAAAAAAACGTTCACACCGAGGAACTCCTTCCTCTCTGTCTGTGACATTTTCCTCGTAGGGAGGAAACGTGCAACAACACGTTTCCTCCCACTTCCATCTCTTTTTTTTTTTTTTTGAGGAAACGTGCACTTGCATGTTTCCTTTCTTATATATATATATATATATTAATGAGGGGAGGGAGAAGGAAACATGGAGAAGAAAATTCTCTCTAAATTCATCCATATTAATTTAAAATAATTTTAATATTAATTAATCAAATTAATTAATATATGTGTATTTAGAATTCTCAATTCTATATTAATAATCATAACTCAATATGATATATTCAGTTCACATTAATCTTATGGAGCCATTGAGAGGAACTATGGACATTATTATTTTAAGCTCCAACAATTTCGACAATTAATTAACACCTTAATTAATATATCAAAATTATTAATTCCAAATTACTCCACTATAAATTTGGAATTGCACTCTTAAAATAATAAAATTATTATGTTCACAGAACTTGTGTTGTCCATTGATATAGTCACTACATACGAATTAATCCTCCATAAACGGTTCATAATTAAAGCTAGGTATTTTCCGTAAACCTCTTTAATTATATCTTTCTCCATAAGTACCATTGATCCTCTAATGAATAATATATTTTATGATCCAATCATAAAATTGAGCACTCTTATTATTCAAGTCCCGAATTAACACTTATGAGAACCGTCCA